ATGTAATTGAAAGGAGAAAGCACCCTTGGTAATGTAGGTGGAATTGGAGGAAAGAGGGAAATGTCAAACAAATTGCAACATGCGCAGATTTTTTTCACATTTGTTAAAAAACACAAAGACGTGTTGATTCTTTGTAGAGTTTCCAGTCCGCTCTGCTTCAGGGAAATCCTCTAACGTAACTCATGGCTCCTTTCTTTATGTAGAGTGGAGAAAGTCACTGTGGAGATTAATCTCCCTGATGATTCATGTGTCGTGCTCTATAAAGCTGCTGCCAGAACTTTGATGGTAGAGTTGAACTGATGGTGATCAGGAAAACATGATTCTGCTTTGAATGACTGGAAACTGTTTTGTGGGGGGGGGGCTGCTATAACTCAGCCGGTGGAGCATGCAGGCAGCTAATATACGGTACATTCATGCATGTCTATCCAACTTCCTACTCCCCTACATATCCTGCCTCTCTTGCTTTTATCACTCAATAAAGGCAAACAGGCAACAAAAACACCTATTGTGTGGCTTTGGTTTTAGCCTGCAATGACAGACTTTTAATAAGTGCAGGATATGGTAGAGCAGCAACTCCCGTGTTTCTTTAAGGTACATTTACAGTTTTTGTTCATGAGGTTTTTGGTGTCTTTGAAGAATGTTAGCAGCTGCTTCTAGGTTAGAAAACGTATTTTACCGTAACAATTTGAGTCTAGGGAGAGGGTTTAGCTCAGCTGGTAGAGCAGGCTTCTAATGCACAGAGGCAACACTCCTTATACTGGTCACAGGTTTGACTTCCTGTCTGCAACCATCTAGTGCATGTCATAAAAAAATGGAGCCTATCCGAGGAAAAAAAAAAAAAAAATGGAGTCAATGTTTTTTTCTTCACACGTTTTAAACCTTATTGTGGCTGGAGTCAACAAGTGGTGATTTTGTAATTTTTTAATTAGCCATCAGTTATTTAGACCCTAAATAAGTGAAAAACGTCTCAGGTTTACAAAACCAGAATTCTGTGGAGTAAAGCCGGCTAAAAATACTGAAGTGACCTTATGCACACAACTCACAGAAACCGGAACAATAAATAGCAAAAACGTTGAAGTGGACACTCGACACACTTAATTATACCGCTTTCATTTTTGAATAACTCTCACCTTCTCTCTCAAAGGTAACTCTTCTACTGAACTATCACTATAATGTCAGCAAACACCAAAGACTGAGGATGATTTCACACAAATTGTAAAGAAACAACTTCTTCCTGCTGCGATGTAAATCCATTACATAACTTTCATACTTAAAAAACCTGTCAGGAATCATTTGATTAGCCTCTGAATCTGATTTTCATGAGTGATTTTTTTTTTTTTTGTATGGATGCAGATGCCAGGCTGCCTCCATCACCCAGAACAATCACAGTCACAGTCACAGCTGAGGTATGTGGTGGTATAGTTGTGTCAATATAATCCTCGCATCTGGAATAAGTGGGAGGAAATAATTGATGGTGTTAAAAGAACAAAACGACTTCACAGCCTGTGCTTGCAAAGATTATGAGAAGACTTGTCTGTGATGTTAGGATGTATTTTTTTGATTTCTTTACCATTCTTCGGCTACAGTTGATAAAATCTCTCTGATATTACTTTGTTTCATAGTTTCAGCTTCTGTCTTTCTCCTCAGATGAATCCATTTTCTTACTTTTCCTTGTTCTGGCAAAGCTAAAGTTACATTTTCCTCGGTAGGAAATGTCTCCAAAGAAAGCTAAATACTACCTTTTGCCACAGAGAGTGTGCTATTGAGTAGGACACACTGCTAATTGCTACTTCTTGCTGTCTAAGTGTCCATTGTGCTTTTAATCTGTGACTGCAAAAAGCCTGAACACATGACAAGAACTTTAAAAGGTCCAAGAAAAATGTACAAAAAAGGACTCTTTTATAGTGACAAAAATTACACTGATAAGAAGCCTAAATTATATGCAGCAGGAGGACTGCTGCACTTTCAAACAGTAGGGATGTAATGCTTCTTTTTTCAAATCTTAATAGTTATAATAATTAAATGCTGAAGTATGCAACTTTGGAAAAGAGCAAAAGAACATTTTGAAATTATCTTAAAAATGTGCCTAGCTCTGATTTACTTTCAGCCCTTTCATTCTGGGATGGCAAAGATTTTTTTTCACAATATTTTCAACCAAAGATGAACCTTTTTTTTTTTTAGATCAATCTTAGGCTGATTAAAAGTTTTTTTGGGGATGTGAAGAAAATGTAATATCCTACCCTATCTTTTCACTCAAGTTCCCTCAACACCTTCCAATATAACGGTTAAAGGATCCTGTAAATTTGCCCAAAACACATATCAAGACATTCAAACTGAATGCTGTTCTTGAATCCTTTGGACTGCAAGCACGAATAATAAGGTCTCGTTTGAAAGCTAACAATCTGTAGTTTAAGCATGTCTTCGATTCTCTCAAATATCATTAAAAAGTGTTGACTACTGTAGAAATAAGGCAGGCGTTTGTCACAATCTGTTTAACATTAGAAATGCTCTTCTTGCTTTCGGGAGCTATTGCATGAAGCAGCGTATCCACGTGTTCAGGATTTCATTGGCCACAAGGAACGCCAGTCATCGGCACAGTCTCGTGCAATTTCAATTAGATTGTGGCTGCTGTGGTGGCTGGATCTTGAAGTGGTTGTATCCTGAAATGTTTAACATGGTCAGAATCAGGAATCGTAGCTTTCTAGCGACGTATGACATGAATGATATTTATGAACTACAGTTGTGTAAATAATCGTGATAATAGGACAACAACTTCCAGCCTTTGAGCAGGCCGTGGGATTTTTAATGGTGTTTATAGAAGACATGAAGGTAGGATTAAAGCCAAAGCTCAAATCTGTGTACTCTGATTTGATCAAGCTAGCATAAGCCAGTACACTGTTCACCTCTGATGTAGCATGACGAGGTCAACAAGTTTAAATCAATGGGAGCTTACACATAAGTATAGTTTGAATTCACTTGAAAACAACACATACAGTCTAAACAAAAACTCCATTGTTGAATTTTTGTTATTTTTCCAATTAGCAGAGACGCAGATGAGAGGGAGGCTAACAGTTTAGCATGAATCCAGACCGATGTTAGCAGTAATCCCCCCCCCCTCACATTTTCTCTATGCCCCAGTGGATTACTTGTCCTATTCAGAAGGTTTTCTGTCATGACAATTCATTCCCAGTGTGCGTATGAATGTGCATGAAAAAGATCAGAGGGACAGCATTTTACAAATGTCTCCTGCTGGGATACGAGACTTGTTGCGCTTACATAAAGAGAGATTGAATTCTTGGACGGATCACAACAGAGTATGTCATTTTCCCCACATTTAAAGGATGCTTTGAATTTCAAATGAAGCTGCAGAACATAGCATGATATATAGGCTTACAAACCAAGGCTGTTTCACATGCTTTCATGGCTCTGTTGTGTTGGCTGCAGTGTTTTTAACACCGCTGTCAGTAGAGCACGATGTTGGTTATTCAGTCACAAGACATCTCTGACACTAAAAAGAACAAATCCCTTAAGCTACATTTTAGTATATAGATTTTTAAATCTGAAATACTATTCATGCTTTACAACAGTAATTGGCTCACATACAGCTCTAAGTGCTGGTTACATATTGTATACAGCAGAAACTGAAATGTAAAAAAATGTGAAATGGGGATAATGTCTGTTAGAGGCTGAATATGTCTGCACACTTAAGAATCAGTACTTAATCTTTTAAATTGTGGCTGTGACAACATGAGCATGACTTCTCCTGCCTTGTGTCACACTGCCTTTATCTGCTATCGACTTTTCATTTCAACATGCTCGTCCAAACACGACTGCAGCCTGCTCGGCTCTTTCAGGGAGATGGAGACTGCTGCTGCTGAGACGTCAGGGTCGTACTGGGACACAAGTGTTCCTGACATCCTGAGCATGCTGGTCAGAGTCCAGGTGCATATGAAGAGATGTGTGCATTATGTGTATGTGTGTGTGCGGGGGATGGGCATTTGTCCCCCAAGGGAAATGGCATTACATGGTGTCTACACTGCGTATCTACCTGTCAACCTGCAGAGGCCAGGGAGCGCTCAGACAGACTATGGAGATTGGCCAGTACGCCCACGTCGTCAGATGCCAGACACACGTGCATGACTTCACATACAGACATTAGCACACTCAAACTTTAACACACACACACCCACACACCCACACACAGCTTAGCTCGACAAGACATCCCCTAAAATGATGCCTGTTTTGGACTAAGAGCACCAAAGCTTACAACCATACAATGATAGATTCACACACACAAACACAAAGAGTGAGTTAGCTTGTAGTTTGGAAAACAAGAATCAGAGTTAAAGGCCCAACACAAGCCAATAACTCTGCTTAATACATTTCAATAAGTGAACCGCCAACCTTCCGATTGAGAGTTGACTGACTGGTTGGTCGTTAGAGTCGGTTTAGACACACACTTCTTGTATAGAGCTTTGTGTCTGTACAGCAACATTAATGTTAGCCCGTAAACAATTTGCGGGCCAGTTTATCCACAGAGGTCTCCTCATTTTCAAAACACACAGACCTGTTAAGAGAACTCGTAAAAACACTCAATAAAGTGGTTTTATTTGGAAAAAAATGGTTTCTATGACGCTGTTTGGGCCTTGGCGAGGCTTTGCTGGCTGCTAGCAAAGCTGTGGCTAACTGGCTAACAAGCTAGCTAATACTTTATCCAGCTGAATGATATAGAATAAAACGAACACATTATGCTTGGAACACATTAAAGTCTACTGAAAATGTTTAAATATGTATCCATGAAATAATGCTTGTAGAATACTTGCTTAGGGCTGAGTTGAAATAAAATTTTGTATCGTACAGCCAAATGTATTTTCAACTACTACAATTCTGAGTGGTGTACGATCCTAATGTAAACCCCAAACACAAACAGAGACGTCTTTCTGATGACAACACACACAAGACACAACCAACAAACACCATGAATACAAAAACACTTTTACCTTGTTTGTGAGTAACTGGCACACTTGAGGGACATAGTCTATTAGGCATCCTCCACTGGGGAATGCTGGGATATGAAGTGCAGAGGAGCCTCCCAGGGCACTGATTGATTAAGAAAAGAAACAACTGTTAGCTCATAAATAACATATTTAGATTACACAGAAGAATATAAAGCCACTAACAATGTTCTTGTCACATGACATTGTCCTGCCTTATTGGAACTCTATGAAACGTCTGAGAAAACCCAAAACGCACACACAGGGCATCCAAAGAAAATAAAAGAGTAACTCATGCCTGTGGCATCCTCTTAATTCTTCTTCACTTGTTCACTTATTTTTTTGACGTCCTGATTCAACGCAGCACCACAGCTCCATTAGTGATTAGTGCACGCCTGTTTAATCAGGAAATCTGCTGCTGTAGCCCCCCAATGACTAACCAACCGAGGCAGTCACTCCCTCATTTTATTCTGATGTGGGGCAAAAAACAGAGGGAATACCCTGAGGACGGGTTAAAGGTCTTAGGGAGCCGCTTATTGGCTTTTAATGCCCATGTTAAGACACATAAGGGAGGACTTCTTCCTCTGCTTTCTATTTTTATCTCCTTCTTCATTAAAGCAGGACAGTCTGGGGGCATTCAGAAAGGCTGTTATGTCATTTAAAGAAGCCATGCCAAAGTGAATGACTTCCGTTTACCAGGTTAAGCATGCATGATGCATGTAAATAGCAGACATCATGTAACCGTGTGTCAAATGTCAAAGAGCACGTATGTGGAGATGGCATGCTGCAGGGCTTGTTCTTTGGTTGATCAGAGAGTCTGTAATGTGGAAACACGAAGTATTCAATTCTTTCTAATAACTTCCATACACTGAAAGACTTTGAATTGACTTTGAATAAATGTTAGGAGACTGAAGTCAGACACCTTCAGGACATTTCCATCTCAGGCAATAAAATAATCCAGGGCTTCTAAAACAGTTTGATAAATTCTATATTGAAAAGATAATAAATATAAAAGAGGTCAAATCCAGCAGAGCCTATTTCATCTGGATCTCCTTAAGACAAGTTTTGGACCAAGACTTCAACAAAGCTGTGTAGTAGAGGTGTTGGGCGGCTGTGGCTCAGTTGGTAGAGTCATCGCCTCTCAACCGGAAGGTCGAGGGTTTGATCCCCAGCTGGGCAACATGTCTGATGTGTTCTTGGGCAAGACACTTAACCCCGAATTGCTCACGCTGCTTCAGTGGCGGTGTATGAATGGCATTAGTTACTTCTGCGTCGATGCAGTGACAGAACAGACTCCATTATTGTGTAATGACCTTGCTTGTAGATTTTCCGGCTGCGGCTGGATCTGTATAATTTATGTATTTTGGTTTACACTGAAAATAAATTTATGTTGACATTGATTTCTAAATCACTTCTATCTGACTCCTCGTCATTCATTGGTGATGAAGTAGCCAGGTGCTGTTATATAGAAAACTGAGGATGCATCGTGACATCGGATAGAATCGTTGAGAGGATAATCGCAATCGCATTGAGTTGTGAGACCAAAGCCCTATAGTGTAATATATTACATGATGAATGAATGAATGAATGTAGAAGGATTTCCATGAGGACTTAATGCATTCAACATGATACATGCTTTTAGCAGTAGAACTTAATTATTGGTACAAGGCATGTACGATATGAGAAAAACATAATAATTTACCTTTTGTAAATTTTTAAAATGTATTTGACAGTATATTGCTTTTATGTATTTCATAGTAACTTATTTAGGTTTCTTGACAGTTCAAATACTTCGTTTAATAACCTTTTTATGGCCTTATTATAATTCTATGTTTTTTTTTTTTGCACAACCCCCCTCCCCCTCAAGTCAAATTCCTTTTCTGTGTATAAATCTTTGGCAATAAATCTGATTATGATTTTCACATCGCCTGTGTTTGCATGTCCAAAATAAATCCAAAAAGCTGTTTTGTCCCCAACCAATTTACACCTGTTCATCTGAGGATAGCAGATAGATAGCACAAGATTCACCTGACTCAATCAAGATGGTGTGAAAGCATGGTTACTGTACTTTACTCAGGCTTTCATCTAATGGATAAAATGTAGGTATGCTAAGGGAAAAAGGGTCCTAAATATCTCATATGTAAGGCTCAGGATCTTCCATCTGCAGCAGAATACAGTTTTATCTCATGAGGTATGAAAATATTTTCCACATTATCTCATCTTTTTAAGCTGAAAGCCAGTGATTTGTACAGAAATCCTGAGAATTGCACAGTGTTGCTCAACCAAAGGTCGGGGGAGTAGTGAGGTGGAGCATCCTGCACTCCACCTTTCTGTCATAACCAAAACCACTGATGTTTTTGGGAAATGTATGTCTGAACTGAGGTGGGGAAGAGGTCAACAGTGACTGGATACAGTAGATTTATGCTTTGCCAAGAGGTAAAAAATAGAAGAACTGATGAAGTTCTGTAGAAAACATCTTGTTTCTCATCAGCGGTTTATCTGTCTCACACAGGAGTGACTGTACAGTGTCATAACCTTCATTTACAATAAGTAGCTAAAAGATAAGATAACACCCCTGTTCACTTTAACAGCCTTTCCTTGAGATCCCTGCTCCGACTCCTTTCGAACAAGAGATGCTCGGCTGAATATTAACCAGGTCTTATTCTCGCAGAATTCATGCAAACTGTCAAGAGGCCATTTTCATTGTCGAATCCTTTTCTTCAGAACTCCAAAGCCACCATTTACAGTAGGCTTTGTGCACATAATAAGCATTAGCCTGTGCATCTTTGCCGTGCACCAACAAATGGTCGATTGAGAATGGCTCGCAGCAACGGGGAGAGGAGCTTTTGAAAATGGAAATCTAAATGATGCCCATCTATCCTCCCACAGGTCTAAGAATAGCTCCAGATCATTCAGATGGAAATGCAGACAGAGACACAAAATAGACGCTGGAGTGTTCGTCACTCGTGTGTGTCAATGGCGAGCATGTGAACAAATGTGATGCATTTTTTGGAGTTTCAATGGTTTTGCCTCTGGAAGATTCATCTGAATGGAGGCTGATTAGACACCACACTCTTATGCTCAGATCAGATAAACCGGTCGTCCAAAATCCAAAAACCTGATACGAGGAAATGTACGACATCTACTCCCAACTGGGCATCATTTAGATTTCAATATTTTAATTTTACTAAAGTAAAAGACATTTTGAGCAAGTTCATAGGGTTTAAGCTAATCATAAAAAAAAAAACTATTGTGAGGGCAGTTGCAACTCCTACAGGCTAATTTAAGCTACTAGAACGTACTGTATATCATGGCAGAACATTTAAAAAAACAGAAATGACATTTTAAAGTAGCATTTTGTCCAAGAATATTTGAATTCGTTATTTTTTAATCAATTTCATCATGTTTTTTAACTTATGGACAACTATTTATAATTGAAAAATATGCTGCAAACCAAAGTGTTATGGCTGCATATCATGCATTTGATCTGCAGATTGACCTTTACAAGAAAAAGAAAAAAACACAATAATTCATTCTCTTGAATTCAATAACTGCAGGATCCCATTAAATGCTTGGGAATCATTGATCTCAACCATATTTTAAAGTTACATATTCAGCCTCCAATTTAAACAGACCCACCAACTTCCAGTGAAAGATGCTGACGCTGGATTATATTTATTGAACACAGGCCATCATTTACAGAGAGAGGCTGTTCAAATTGCACCCAGATGCCAAAAACTGAGAACAAACCATTTGAGAAGCCACAACTTAACTTACCTTCAAGCAAAGGGAAGGGCAATATAAGAAGGAAGATAAGTTACAGGTATACAAACATCCATCCCACATTAGATTAGTCACTACAATGAAGATAGAAGATACATGTATTGATAGAGAGAGCCCACTGAAAAGCCATTGTACCTCTAGTAGTTAAAGGGTTGACAAAGAGAAGGATTATATTTAATGCAGCTGAGTAGATGTTTCTGATTTAAATCTCTTCTATAAGTAAAGCTCATTCAAACTGTCATGATCCTACAGTCCTGATAATGCAACAAAAAGTATCCATTTGTTTCTGCTTTAATAATGTGAAAACGACATGAACACTACAAAGAAAAAATGTTTTCTTTAATGCAGAGAACCAAATTTGGTAATCCAACATAGACCGTAATTAACAGTAACAACATGATATCCGACAAAAGATTACATGTGGGCAAAAACCCTGAAATGCAATACTGGAAATGATCCTTGCATCATTTTTTTTTTTTAACATTTTTAGTCTGCCATGTTTCTGCACAATATAATTTCAGGTTTTACGGCTCAACAAGTTGTGTACTGAATTTTCTCTAATTTTTTGCTTCCAACCTGACATGGCCTTAAATGCCCTGACTCACCAAGGAGACCGTCGGCCGTCGGTGAGCGGTACCTGAGAGTATCTATATCACAGGTGTTGAGCGACAGCGTGGGAGAAAATCGTCTTCGTCCCCACTAGTTCTTTGCGGTCTGCTTGGTGTATCAGCGCCTTAATGCTGAACTTCACCAGAAGAGGAAAAAAAATCTGTTCTGAATTCTTCCACCATTACTTGAACGTAATTAAGGTCCCTGCCCGACACCATACATGCATGTGTCCTTTACGTTGAGTTCAAGTCCACAACCTCTGGTTTGTAAGGCAGTTTTGGTTCCTCCAAACCCAAGTCGAGATGACCTGTTTCAGTTCAACTCCAAATGATTAAGCGAATAAGCTTGTTAAAAAATCTGTGGAGTTTCCCTTCAACCAGAGAGTGGGCTGAGAGCACGCTGACCTGAATGAGGTGACTAATGGAAAGCTGTTGCAAATTTTGACCTCCGGTTGAATTTAGATACATAAAAGTACAGTACATGTCCATGTTATATTTTTCAAAAATAAACAGAAACCCCAGAGGTGAACTGTTCCTGAAATGGTTCGGTATCATTATAGTTATGTCAGTGTTATCAAATGTCCTGTATGGGCTTAAAATGGAGCTTCCTGTGGGCGGGCTCAGAATCCAGACATAATGGTTTTTTTACTCTCCAAGTGGCGCCCTGAAGAGTCCCCTGCTTTTTGTCTCCACTGGTGACACTGCTCTCAACACT